GGTCACAACTGAAACAGAAATGGGCAGCAAATGCAGGCAGGGTTTATGAGGCTTTGCTTGTGTGGCTTCTGCTGGCAAACCTCAGAGTGCTGCAAAGTGCCGGTATTAAAGAAGCATCAACTGCGCTGCTGCTGAGGCCCCCCCATGCGTGGAGAGCGGTGTGATTTGTCTGAGATCATGAGACATCTGCATTGGAGCTGGGAACAGAGCCCAGACCTTGTGAGCATTAAAAACGTTTGCTTTAACCACACAGCTTTTCCCTTTCGCTTAATGGAAGCTTTGAGCTGCTCCAGACTCGCTGCATTAAATCAACCTGTAACAAGACCAGGGTGGCACAGGGTGCCCAGAGAAGCTGTGGCTGCCCCATCCCTGTCAGTGTTCAAGGCCAGGTTGGACACAGGGGCTTGGAGCAAGCTGCTCCAGTGGAAGGGGTCCCTGCCTGTGGCAGGGGGTTGGAACTGGATGAGCTTTAAACTCCCAACCCAAACCACTCTGTGGAATCAAGAGCTCAGACGCTCTGCCCTGACCTGTTGCCCTGGCACTGATGAGGTGATGCCAGTTCTTCACCTGACCAGAAGCTAAATAACACAGCAAGAAAAACAGAGCCACAAATGAAGACACCAGAAACCACAGCAAAAGAACACCCACAAGGGCTTAAAGCTCCCCAGAGCATTGCCACCCTATGTGCAGATACCGCAGACTCCGTTCACTGTGTTGCCTTTTCAGGTGGTGCACCAGCGTAATTCATTACTGGTTGCCTGGCCGGTACCTGTATCCCTGCAGAGATGCATAGTTATGAGCTCATTTTCTTCCCCAGTGCACACAAGGGTCAATAGCCAATGTATTCTGCTGACATAATGGAAAAGCTTGGCAGTGACACAGTCACCTTCACCCCACTTTAAGGATATTAAACCCAGGAGGGTTGGCTTTAATGGGAACAACAGGGATTTACTGGTCCTTTCACCTTCTCTCATGGAATAGTCAGGTTTGGAAAGGACCTTAAGATCATCCAGTTCCAACCCCCCTAGTACAGCTCAGCTCAATGGGTTTATTCCTCAGCCAGCTGTCTGAACAGCCACTGTAAAGACACTCCTTGAGGCACCCATCTGGGTTCATACCAGTGTCACTCATACCAGGTCTGACAACTCTTTTAAGCCATGTGAGGTGTTGCTGGAAACCAGAGATGTGCCACAGAGCTGCTGCTTTGTGTGTGTCAGGTACACGTTGGATGCAGTGACTCTCGCATGATGCTTCTGGCTCTGGGATGGACAAGATGGGCTGGGAGCACTTTCCAGGTCTCCACATTCCCCAAACCTTTGCTTATCCAAGATGGTCCTGAGCAAACAAGGAGCTCAGATGAGGCATCAGCAGGAGGGGTACATTCCAATTTCTCATCCATAAAACCTTGTTTTAAAGGATCAGTTCTTGCACAGATAATGCAGTACTCGGGGGTCCACGTCCTCCTGTACACCCTTGCACTGCGGTGAAGAAAGCTTTGCCTCCCTGGCACAGCTCAGCATACCCAGGAGGAAAACTCCATCCCATTTTATACATTCCCTTTAAAAACATACCCACAAATCCCAGGAGGAGGACGTGTTTGCCTCCCATGGCTTTGTGGGACTGTGTGGAACCAAGTCCTAAGTTCACCATCAGAGAGGCTCTGGATAAAGCAGATCCCTGGGCTGTAATGTCAGGATTGAGCTGCAATGGAGAAGTCCCAGCCTAGCTCTATGCTCTGTGGCCTGACCAGGTGGATGGGCCATCAGTCATACACTGGTCTCAGTGCTGGCCTCCCGTCTCACCCCCAAATGAACCAGCAGAGATTCATTCCCGTAAACAGCTTAAAGCGGAAGCAGTTTGGGATGACAGATGGTGGCAGAAAAGAGGAAAGTGTTCAAAAAGAGAGACCCAATTCATCTCAGTTCCTTGAATTTGCAGCAAGGGAATTTCCATGGAAAGAAGGGGGAAAAAAACCTCAGGTCAGCTCTTGTCAGGCTTTTGTAACCATCCCACAGCCGAGGAGCAGGGACTTTCTGTGGTCACCAGCAACTTGGTCAAACCAATGTTAACCATGGGGAATGCAAGTGGCCACCCCACGGTGGGCTTTTGGGGAGGATGAGGATCACCAAGCAAGGGAGAGGCTCTTGGGAATGCTGGGACGGGGACTCAGTTAAGCTGGGTACAGCTAGGTCTGGCTTTGCTGGAGCCTCAGCTGCAAGAGCTGCTTGTGCAAGCCAAAGCAATACCTACAGACCCTCTGCAAGCGAAGGGGAAAGCCAAGAGCCTGGGAAATCATTGGCTAGGGAGGAACTGGCTTCAAGGGACTGAAGCCAAATAACCCGAAGCCATTCAGTGCCACAGATTTAAGTCAATGAGACCCCATGAGGGCAGATTACGTCCATGCTCCCACCATGTGCTCTGTGGCACTGAGTCACTGCTGGCCTGTTCCATTGGAGCATGCCCATGGGCATCAGCTCAGTCTCAGATGAAGGAAGATTTGGCTGTACCAGAGATAACTGAGCACACCCGCAGCCTGCTGCATCAGCACCTTTGAAAGAGCTGTTTCAGCAACATCCTCCTGCCCAGAGCTCTGGCCTGGCCCCAAAACATGAGGCAAAGAGCTGCTGCCTTGCAGTAAAATGATGCTGTATTGTCCCCAACACTGGTGTTTGTGCAAAGAGGGGACAAAACGGGCACTTACTTGGCACCAGCCTCAAACCCCTGAGGATGGAGTGAGGCAGGAGCAGGGATTCAGACTGCTCTGTCCTTCCATGCGTAATTCACCTCTGGAGCTCTATCCCATATTAAAGCAGATCCATTCCATCACAGCTGATTCTCGGGGGCAGCCGAGGGCACTGCCCTGGCTTGCAGCATCATTTCCATTCAGGAGGCTGTTGGGTTTTACACTCATCTCAAGTTCTGCATCTTCCAGAAATAATCCAGGCAGAGGAACTCCAGTGTAACAGAGAGCAGAAGAGCCCTGCACTGAAGCACTGAAGGCTTTTACAGAGCACTGATGGCTTTCCAAGGCACAGCCCTGGGATTTTTCTGCAGGGCTCTTGTACTGTCAGCACACCATTTGCTCTGCTCACCCGCTCAGTTTTAATGCGCCATTAATAATGCAGCTCTGTATTTACTGCAGTTCATGTCACTGTTCCACTGTTACTCCTTGATCACTCCTTATCCTCCCTGTAGTGGCAGGCAAGGCTCCAAACCCCAAACACCAGCAGCAGTGTTACTACAGACCAAGCCGCAGCCGCACCAGGTCTGAGGCAGGGATCATTTATCTTCCCGAAGCTGGCACCCAGGAAAGCAGGAACAGCTCCACTTCCTCTCTGGCTCCGTGATCAGACCTAAGCCTTTCCAGGGCAATGCGGACAGTCAGCTCTTCCGAGGGATCTAAGCCAGAAAACTGTAAACCATCATTAACTTGCTTGGAGGATGCTTTGCTAGTGATGCCTGACCCTGCAGCCAGCATTGCTCCTCATAGAGGCCCTATGCCTCCAGCTCGGTACCCAGGCCTGGCCTCGCCTTGGGGTTACAGTGCTCATGCATAGCACAGGGCTGCATAATCCTCTTTGGCCTGAGGGACTTAAAATGGTCTTTCACATCACAGGAAAAAGCTTTAAATCATGGAATGGTTTGTGTTGGAAGGGACCCTAAAGCTCATCCAGCTCCAACCCCTGCCACGGGCAGTGACACCTTCCACTGGAGCAGCTTGCCCCAAGCCCCTGTGTCCAACCTGCCCTTGAACACTGCCAGGGATGGGGCAGCCACAGCTTCCCTGGGCACCCTGTGCCAGCGCCTCAGCACCCTCACAGGGAAGAGCTTCTGCCTAAGAGCTCAGCTCAGTCTCCCCCCTGGCAGGTTCAAGCCATTCCCCTTGGCCTGTCCCTACAGGCCCTTGTCTCAAGCCCCTCTCCAGGTTTCCTGAAGCCCCTTTAGGCACTGGAGCTGCTCTAAGGTCTCTCTCCTGGCTGAACAATCCCAACTCTCTCAGCCTGTCTTCACAAAAGAGGTGCAACCTGGCCAGGCTGGATGGGGCTTGGAGGAACCTGCTCTAGTGGAAGGTGTCCCTGCCCATGGCAGGGGGTTGGAACTGGAGGAGCTTTAGGGTCCCTTCCAACTCAAACCATTTTGTGATTCTGTGGCTCCAAATTTCTGAGGCCAATTCATTACTACAGCACAATCAAGGCGACCTCTTAAGCTTCACAGAGAACCAATGTGAACACCTGGATGAAAGGGTTATTTAGGTCACAACTAGAGAACTAACAAATGCCAGATCTCCAGATGCAAAATGTGGCACAGATGCTTCTCACTGCAGGACTGTGGATAACTCATGGAGCTCCTTCTCAGCAAATGGTCTGTAGCAGCCCAGACTGTAGCCTGGAAATGCAAGTGCCCATTTGCTAACTGTATCCAACTGATTTCCCGGTAGTTCACAGGATGACATGTGTTTGACAAATACCTACCAGGTGCTACAGCTGGAGGAAGGCACAAGGAAATCTCATAGGAACATCTGCAAAGTGAAACCAGAGACCTACCAAACTAATGCGTTTGTTAAGCTTCAGCTCCATGTCCAGTACACTGGACACAGATTTCAGGTGCTGGGGCAGAATGGAGCCCATTGAGATACTCCACAGAGGCACCTTCACAATCCCAACGTCTCCCACTGCCTGATGTGATCCCCTTTAGCACAGCTCCACTGGAAGCAGGAGCTCCTCAGCAGGATAAGTGCGCTCTGGCATTTCTCCATCAGCTTTGAGGTACCACCACTGAGAATGATCATGGGTTGAAACTTGCCTGGATGGTGCTGAGCAAACTCCAATGTTAACGACACGTGTGCACTGCATTCTGATTAAAATCAAATGCATAAACAAGAAACTGTGATGTCTGAAGAGTGGCTGACAGCTCCCAGCCATCCCGTTTCTAACAGCCAAAGCGATGGCTGTTGGCTCCATGACCAAGTTCCCTCAGTTACACAGCCACATAATAGGACCTTCACAATATTCCTTTATTAAATATCCTCTTTGATACAGAATATTGAAGCAAAAATAGCTTTAAACCTCTGGTTTGGTAATTCTTACAGGAGTCTTTTGTGTAGCCACTGTTATAGCAGCTCACGTTGCCGCTGAAGGAACAGATCTTTATCAAATGTCAGGTTTCTCCCTGTGTGGAGATCTGTTCCATACAAAGAACTCTTAAAACATTGGAAAATGCTTATAGAAACCATGAAATCTCTGAATTCTGGGCTTCAGCTAATCAAGAAATCTAACAATTGTGTCACAGACACATAAAATGCCATAGAAATGAAGTAGCAGAACAAGAAATGCATCCTCAAAAGCTTCTAGAAGCCATGGCAGTGCATGGAAGGGAGGCCTCGACACAAATGCTTCCATACAGTGCTGAAGCTTCAGCACAGCACTGCCCAACCCCACCTCTCAATGTGACTTCCAGGACTGGAAATCCATCATGTAACATCCACGTGGCAAAAGGCACTACCCCCAAGACGGGATTCTGCCCCGCAAAAGTTGATCAGCATCAGCAGGTGACTTCATTCTGCCACTGCTGTTGCGCTGTTTGAGACCCAGATGGTCTCCTTCATTTTATTCTATGTAAATCGATAACCTCCTTTTTAACATTAATGAACAGTAAATTAATGTTTCTTTGGCTCAAAGCTCCTACAGCTGCAGCCATTCTCACTGAATAGATAAGGCCCCTCAGATATTCAGATTAACATGGATACCAGGTGCTGTTGGCACAAGAAGGTGACTGGGGACACAGTATGTGCCACTGCTGAACAGCTGTGGAGCAGACGTATCTCTTGTGATGAACATTCCAATCAGAGTCCTGAAGTTATCACCCAAACACTATCTAAGGGGTTGCTTGAGGTCAAACAAACCAGTCCCTCCTTTAACAACTTTTCCCACCACGAGGCACGCAGAAGGGGATCGCAGCTCATCATAGGCACCTGCAACAGAATTCAAACAAAACTCCTATCAGGATGGTTCCAAAGGATTCCCAAAGCTCAGTGCTGAAAAGAGCATTTTGGTTTACAGGCTTCAGCCCCTTTGGTTTGAGAAAGGCACTGCCACCTACTGTTCAGATTCCATCTGTATATCCGAGAGCAGGAGCCCAAAACCCTTCCTGCCCCTCTTACATTAACTATTATCTCGTCCCAATCCTTTTGTCCAAGCAAAGAATTTTGCCACGCATTACTAAGCTCTCCCTATTCAGCATGAAAAGACAACACGTTCTGAATCCTAAGGGAACACAAGTCTGACCTTCCAGTGAACACATTTTGCTGATTAAATACAGCGCTTCAAAAATGCATGTGAGGCAAAACCAGAAAGATTCCCTTTTCATTGCTGCCTTTTCCCTTTGTTAGAGTGAATCCTTTTTATGTGGATTTTAAATCCTTCTGGCTAGATATGAAGAGAGCATTTCACTGGAGAGACATTCCATGAATTCCTTTGATTTTGTGGTTACTCACTGTAGCGAAATAGTGTCACAGCTATTTGGAAGCTCTCCAGATGACATGTCTGGCTAGGACTGGTTTGCTTCCACTGGTTTTTATAAGCACCCAGGCTGGTTTTCATTCATCCTAATGCTGGAATTCTGTCATTGGAGCAGTTGGAAGATTGGAAATAAAACTGTTAAACTTCTGATAAGTTTATTCTACAGAGCAGGATGTACTGAGCTCTCTACAGAGGATGGGGTAGAAGCTGCACCACAGCACAGTGCAGGGCATGAGCTGCTCTGATCTCAGCTGAGTAACTACATCGCTGCTCCTAAATGTGTGCCAGCTGAAGAAAACCAAGCTCTTTTGTTAGATCGTTAAGCAAAACAGTCAGAACTGTCCTGTTTGCTCACGTGGTGTTAACAAAGAGTTATTCTTTGAGCAAACAGCCAAAGGGATCTCACTTTGGATGCACCCCGAACACTGGTCAGCACTCTGATGGGTCACCCCACACTCTTAAATGATGCTTCTCACACTGGCTGTGCACAGTGGCCACAAGCCTTCTCCTTTCCTTCTTCCTGATCACAGCAGGCAGCCTTGCAGCATCTCTTTAACTGTACAGTCAAGTGATCAGTTACACTGAAGCAGATTAGATCCAGACCGCTGCAACCCACATTATGACTTTGATTTCCATCGTGGTGAAAACATTAACTCCCTTCACTGGTAATCAGTGCAGCTTTCCTGCCAATTCATGGTGCCCTACTGTCAGTATGCATTTCCTGTCTTTACTCATAATGGTAGCCATAAAGATAATTACATTTCACTTGGCAAGGAACGTACTTCTAAGTCAGTGGGTGATAGAATGTAAATCCAGAGAGGGAGCTCAACTGTGCAAGGAACAGTTCAGCTTCACCCTGATTTACACTGTTCCTGTCTGATTTTCAGGTGAATTAAGTCAACTGTAACCAATGCTATTAATTAAAACCCAAATTACCTTCACAGAAAAGGTCTAAAACTAACGAAATTCAGGGATAAAAGTATCTGTGACATCTGTGCAAGGCAGGTTAAGGTACTAGCTGAAGAGATCGTGTTGAGAGCGTTTCCCATTTGTAATAGGTAGCAAAGGCAGCACAGTGGGACTCAAGAAGGAAAGCATCCAACTGGCACGTGACAGAAACCAGGACTATTTGCAAAAGGGAGACACAAGCAGTATCCAAGGATAAGATCACACAAACTGTGTCTAGTGACAGACTTAAAGCATCAGCTCTTCTGACAGAACTCTTGAATGCAGGTGGCTGCTGCTGTATTTCAGATATCCTGCACGATGCACACAACTATTGACCTCTACACCTTCCAGAGCAGCAACTGGAGGGCAGGAAGGATGCTCTTGGGCACCTCACATAGCACCGTTACCATTAGACAAAGGAGTCTGATCCTCTGCCTGGGACTGAGGAAACAAGCAAAGACAGTGAAGTGCTAAAGCAGAAGAAAACCAGAATCAAAGTCACAACGAGGAGGCCTGTTCTCACAGTAAAATTCTGAATAGAGAAGAAATGAGAACATGGAGGTCTTATTAGAGACATGAAAACAAAGCAGAGGTGACAATTTTAACAGCAGAGGCAGAGTGAGCAGTGTGTTATAAAGCTCTGCTCTAACAAATCTCAACACTGTTATAAAAATGCCTATCTAATTCCTAAAGAAAGGAGTCGCAGACCCCACAAATGACATGTGGGAGCCAACTTCATTGGAGCTGACAGAATTCCATTAAAAACATCTGGAACGTTTTCCTAGGCAAAGGCTTCATGAAAATTCTAGCCTCTGGCATATTTTGTTTTCCCTTAATGCAATTATGCATCACTCAAAATAGGGGAAAGTTACAATGAAAACAAAGCCTATGTGAAACGCTGCAGCCATCGGTTTCAAGCTAAACCACTTACCCATCATTGTTGCTTCCTTCAAGAATTTGTAGCTGGTTTCAAATGTCATCTGCTGCAGAGGGGAGGAGTTGGACTGAATTCCATAACGATTCAGTGGTTTATAAAATCCTTCAAAACACATGTAATCTGCCACGAGGGAAAGGTGCCGAGGGTCTACCTCAATCCCTAAGAAGACAACAAAGAGAAACCATCAGAGCACTCAGGGGCTAAGGTTTGGGGTTTTAAAAGTGAATTAGGCCTAAATTAAACCCCCCTGAATGTAATCAACATGGAGAATATCTCTAGTAACAGTCTTCTGGCAGTTGTACCTCTTTGTGAGTAGCTGGCTTAGCTGCTCCCCTCAAATACGCAAGAGAGACAGACCTCACTCTAATATAAACCAATCTCTCTCCAGGGAAACTAACCCATCAAGAGTGCTGTCAGGCAGCTGAATTGCTCTACATAAAATCACTAAAGTCTGCTTTATGCAGAAGGGTATCACACATCATAGAATCACAGAATGGTCTGGGTTGGAAAGGACCTTAAGATCATCCAGTTTCAACCTCCTGCCATGGGCACGGAAGCCTCACACTAGACCATGTTGCCCAAGGCTTTGTCCAACCTGGCCTTGAACACTTCTGATGGGACAGAGCTCCAGCCCCTCACCTTGTGGCCTGCGTTAGCAAAGCACAGTCAGAAAGGTTCTGCTGTTTTCTGTGCACGATATTAGGCACCCACAGAAAACCCCATTTAGGCTGAAAAGAAACAGCACTTCTGTAAAAATAACATGGAATTGGTGTCATGGGGGATCATTAACAGCTCTGTCAACATCCACCCAGCAGTGCTTGAACCACTTGAAGGTCAGACCACTCTGGGCTGCCAGCTGGCAAACCTGTTTCATGTAACTGGTTGCTAAAATTCCCACTGTATTAATCTGCCCTCTTCTCAGTAGTTAAATTCATAGCAAGACTTAGCTCGCTTAAGGCAAATTCAACATGGCTAACTTCAGCAGGCTGTGAAGTCAGGCATCTTCCCCAAGCCTGGGCTCTGCATACAGAGAACATTCACACAAGGAAATGCAGCTATTTTAGGAAAGATATTAAAACTCAACTCAAAAGGGAGTCTGAACTCCCATCATTAAAGAGCTAGAGTGAGGCAAGGTTAATCCTGTTCTCAGGACCTCTATACAAGTCTAACAGCTTCCTCACACATCAGCAGTTAATTTGTCTGGACCTTACAGCTTGTAAAGAATAAATGGACCAGAACAGAAAAGCTCTGTGAAGGGGGGATAAATTCCACCTTGTCTAGTGAATGTTCTCCTGATTAAATGGAAGCTAACAATGAACTAACAAAGTGTTCACAGCAGGCACTATAATGATTAAAATAATGAGAAAGTGCAACTTCACAATACACATACAAATGAAAAGATCATGCACATAAATTTAAGCACTGTGGCTGGGCTTTCCCATCTTTAATGAAAATAAAGACTATCTTAATAAATACAAAGAAATCTTACCATATACAGCAAATACATCTTTTATTTCCTTAATAATCACCCTCAAGGCAGACTCTATTCCATAGTTCTTAGCCATGGCATGAATATCATTGGAATAAAGTCTGTTCAAGTCCAAAATCTGAAAGCAAAGAAACCACAGACACAAGTTAGGACAGTAGTTACTCTGTAGTTCCAAAGAACTTCAGCCAAAATAGCTTTTTTCCTCTAGTTTTCATTAGCTTAAGCAGCACCAACAGTTAGTGAACAAATAGGCAGCAGCTCCAATACAGACAAAGATTAATTCTGAGGATTTGTGTTTAAACCAGTGATCACAGCATTATGTACATGAATAAGATCCTGGAATCAAAACTCACCACAAGAGCAAATTAGCTGAAATTAGAAGCATCAAACTAACATCTCAAGCAGCAGAGGAACATGTTGAAATCTTCCAAAGACCACAATGCAATGCCCAGGCTGGCTCAGCCAGCCAGAACTT